TATAAGTGTATATATGAGGTGCAGTTTACATATGTGTATGTCTGAGTGTGTATATATGTGATGCAACTCTTGAATGTGTTGTGTATGGGTGTGGCTATGTGCACAATATACATGTATGTACGATTGTACGTATATGTGTGTGCACTTTGGGAGTGGCCACGCATGTGTGTGCGCGTGGGTGTCAGTCTGTGTTGTATATGCACGTACGTTCACGTATATGTACACGAGATTTTCCACACGTATACTTGTGAGTAATAGCTTGCCGCGTTGTCATGGTTACCATACACAGCTTGACCTCTCCGCGTCGCATGAAGAAGTAATTCCTAAACCCCTTCAACCATTACAAATGGGACTATTCACAAGCATTCCGCTGCCCTGTCCTGTCCTGTCCTGTCCTCCTTTTCTGTTATTGTATTCTGTATGACTTGGATTTCCCTGTGACTGCACTACCACGTGTGTCGACGTACTCGTGCGCATATGGACAGTTTGACTACCGTGGAGCTGCTAATTTCCAATCTTGAAGTGAACGTATATAGGCATTTATACTATATTAGTGCACATATATAGGTACACACCAGATATCTTGATATGTCTATGTATGCATGCACATCAGGTCCCTTTCGCTACAACTACTTATAAGCTGTATACGTACATACGCATATATGCGCATACACATATATGCGCATACTCATATAAACACATACATATATATACACATACCCATACCAAGGTTGGCTACGAACACCCTATCTCAATCTATAGCCAATGGTACGTTTATGCAGGTGCTGCGTTGGGACTGTGTGATCGCATGCAGGATGATTGCCTTCTCCGTGCACAATGAAATGGACACGACATGTACACACACGTGTGCACAATGTAATGAACACGGACATGTACACACGCGTGTGCACAATGAAATGGACACGACATGTACACACGCGTGTGCACAATGAAATGGACACGACATGTACACACACGTGTACACAATGAAATGAACACGACATGTACACACACGTGTAATGCTCAGTTGCAGCACTTTAGAGCCATGGCTACGATGTTGTAGGTTGGGCAGATGGGTGTTAGAGTTTAGCTAAAACCCTGAAAACCACATGAACACACTGCTTGACACTCAAAGAGAAGGGAAGCACGTATGGACAATGGAGACATACACACACTAAGTGAACACTGTCTTCTAAGCACATGTGTATAAGTCACTGGAGATATACACACACTAAATGAACACTGTCTTCTAAGCACATGTGTATAAGTCACTGGAGATATACACACACTAAGTGAACACTGTCTTCTAATCACATGGGTATAAGTCACTGGAGATATGCACACACTAGGGGAACACTGTCTTCTAAGCACATTACGCCTGAGTCACGTCAAGTGGACACTACGAGTGGTCCGCTTGAGCTAAGTATCTGTCTCTCAATAGCCGTGTGGCTAGTAAGAACCCTAAAACTCTGGCGAGTGGGCGTGTGCGTGAAGCGAGGTGCTTAGGTGCTGACCGCTGGAAGGAGAGTGATTGAGACTGTGTAGCTGCGCTTGGCATAGTAGCGGTCGCCCGAACGAAGTTGTAGGTAGCACATAGGGGGTAGGCGTAATGGATGTGGACACACCGGACATGTAGGCATCACTCAGCTACCTCCACGATATAATTAGAACAGATCAGTGCCCAGATCAATTAAAACAAATTTAGATTCATAGTAGCTATAGGCATAGGCTTATCGCTATAGGTATATGCTTACAGCTACACTTCACTTCACTTTACTTTACTTCACTTCAATTCACTTTACTTCACTGCTAAACACGCTCTTGCACTTGCTCACTTTTATATGGACCAAGACTAGCAGGACTGGTCTATTACTCGCATTGATGATATGTTCACACAGAGGTGATGTATATGTGATGCAAGGCCCTGTAGTAGGGGATCTGTTTGTGTATATGCCCATTTAAATGCCGAAAGAAATAACACTTTAACATTTTATTCGCGATTATCTATATGATTACTGTATTCTCTATACGTGTGCGTGGTTGTTAGACATTCAATACTGGTTGGATGTACTTCTCCTAGGGGGTCTCCGGTTGCCCCTTTAAATCTCAGAGCGGTCTTACGGATACGTTGCTACGCAGCATTCCTCTTTATTTTTCCACTCCCAGGCATAGGCGCCCGTGTGCGTGCCTAGTTGGTGGTCTTCATGCGCTTGAGCTGCACCAGAGAGGCGAGCATGAACACACACCACAACATCGCAAGTATGCCCAAATTGCGCGGGATTTGCTATGTAGGGACAGAGAGGATGTGAAGAAGAGTATAAATGGCCGTGCACAGAGAGTGTCTGGATGTGTACAAGTGTAGTGTCTAGGGTTTACACAACTGTAGTATCTAGAGGGCTTACATATTTCAGTATCTAGGGTTTACACAACTTCACTTTCTAGTATTTACACAGCTGTAGTATCTAGGGTTTACACACACTCTCTCCTTCATGTAAATAGATACGCAATCGCATGTAACAGAAAACGTACTTACGCAACTAAATTACCACACACAGCTTGTGTGCACACGCAAGCACACTCAGCCACATACGCTCGTGCTGAAGCCCTGGGTCTCCAAATACATGTCACCGGTTATACACGGAACCCCGGGTGCACATTCGAAGCTCATGCCGGACAGTTCGATACTTTCAAGCACCTCCAAGCCGTAGTAGATGATCGACAACCACTTAAGCCAACTCAACCACGAGGGCATCGTGTTGACATTAACCAGCAACCCACCGAACGCCATCATGATCACGTAGATCATGGTCACGCACAGGTGAGCGAGTGCGAAGGACGACACCGTGCAGCTCAGCACGAAGCAGATGGACACAGCACACAGACCCACCAGCTCAGTGGTTAGCAGGAAGAGCAGATAGTTGGTGATGGGGTAGGCCACAAAGCCACACATGAAGTACGCGATGGAGAGGAAGATGGCCAGGGGGATGGCACGCATGAACACCAGATCTATCAATGTCTTAGCCACAAAGTACGCCTGTGGGGCAGTGGGAGTGGACCATGGCGAGTGTGAGAGAGAGTGAGAGGGAGAGGCAGAGTGGAGGTTACTACTGAAGTGACTGCACTTGTGTGTGAGAGATCGATATGAGGCAACACTTGTTGACATGGTACAATGACAACGGGGGAGCAATTGGTAGCCTGGATGTATGGGTTAGTAATTGTTCGTGTAGTAGTAGGTACGAGTGTGTGTGTTGTCAATGGGTGTGTATGTATGTATATAACACCTATCAGCAGACGTCCACGTATTTTCATCTGAGCTTGATTACACAGGGACGTGTACCTAGCGGCAGTGAGTGTGTATGTGAACAGTGTTTGGTTGTAATACAGGTAGGCTGTGGGGGTGTGTGCTTGTCCTACCCTGCTTGCCTATGGGTGTGCAGTGTGTGATTCGCACGCCATACTGTTACATATAAAACCAAGAAGTCGCAGTATATGCGTATGTGAATGTGTCGTTGGATATCACAGCAACCTCTTGTGCACGTTGCTTTATATTCGTGTGCACGGGTAGATAAAGTAGGTAAATAGAGCATGTGTAGGTGAATAGTAGGTAAATAGTACATGTGTAGGTAAATAGTCAGTAAATAGTGCATGTGTAGATAAGTAGTAGGTAAATAGCGCATGTGTAGGTAAATAGTAGGTAAATAGTGCATGTGTGGATAACTGGTTGCGCAGCAGTCGGGCATGAGATCGTGTTCAGGCCATGCTTACCTACCTATGCGTCATCAATGAGTCACATACCTCTGCGCGGTAGTAGCCGTTCATCTTCTCGTTCACAAACAGCTCACGCTCATCGATGAAGATGGCAATGGCGGACATGTTGCTAAACACCGCTGAAAGCAGAATGAAAAACATTGCTCCGACCCGATTCTGCGTAGATTGGCATAAGAATGTGGTTGAAAATTTAGCCTAGAATTGAATTCAGGAATACTTATGTATGTCTGCCTGTGTATCTATAATAAATGGGGTGCTCCATGGTTATGTGAATCTGCAATTCAAATCCAACATTACGTAGTTGTGATTGTGTAGTTGTACGTAGTTGTGATTGTGTAGCTGGTAGTGCCTGGGCATCATGCCACACACGCCAAGCCACATAGAGAATGTGATCACATCCCTCACTCAACTACTCAACTACTTCCTATCACAGGTTTGTCACCCGTTGCTACACCGTGCGTGCGCACACTCACTGCACAGGTGAACCCTCCACGCACGCCGGCTCAGTCAAGTGTTGGGTCTATCCGGCTTATGGTACTTGTTAAACAAGCACTGACGTAGTATTGTGCGGATAAGTGAGTGTTTATTTAGATGCGACCAGCTGGGGTGTAGGCTAGTTGTGAGACACACTCCACCCTGCATGCTGGTAGGTATACGCCTACCTACACAACATATGCGGGACTACCCCTGTGCATATTCACCCACGCACACACACGCACGCACGCATGTATATATGACATGTGCACACGCACACACATGCACACATGCACACATGCACACAGGCACCTCCGTAGGCCCAGACACATGGGCAGTGGACGTACCTGCAGCCCCCCAATGCCATCGCCCAAGCCGAGGAAGGTGATTCCAGTGACCACACCGAACAGGGCCAGCGAAACAAACTGCATAATCGATGTTTCTGGGTTGCTATTGCATATAGGTATTGGTGGTTAGTACTAGTTGTAATACTGGGTGTAAATCGCAAGTATTAGTTGTAATAGTGGGTGTAAATCGCAAGTATTAGTTGTATCAGTGGGTATAAATCGCAAGTATCAGTTGTATCAGTGGGTATTAATCGCAACTATTAGTTGTAATAGTGGGTGTAAATCGCAAGTATTAGTTGTAATGGTGGGTGTAAATCGCAAGTATTAGTTGTAATAGTGGGTGTAAATCGCAAGTATTAGTTGTATCAGTG